GTCACCTATCTCTAACAGTGACAGGTTAAATTTCAAACCACGACAGTTCAAAATCCGGTATCACAACAAACATATCCTGAAAATTTCAGCTAAATCGGTTCAGTAGTTTCTGAGTCTATAGGGAGCAAACAAACACACAAACATTGATTTTTATATATATAGATAGACCAGTCTCTCTCCAATATCTCTCCCCTAACTCTCTTTCTATGACTCTCTCCCCTATCTCTCCCATCTCTCTCTTTCTATGTCTCTTTGCCCATCCCTCCCCTCTCTTTCTATGCGTGTGTGTGCGTGTATATATGTATGCATGTGTGTATGCGTGTGAAACTGTATGTGTAGGTACGCATGCGTGTGTGTGTGTGTGTGCGTGTGAATATGTGAGTATGTGTTCATGTGTACGCGTGCATATAGTGTGTGTGTGTGTGATAAACACCGAGCCGAGAGATAATTGGACACACATTATGGACTACTTAATCTAAATTGAGCACCCGTAAGCTATTTAACTTTGAGTCCCAGGGGAATTTGGCATCAGAGGCCCAATAGGTAGTCAAGACAGACGTAAAATCGACGCATCTTGCGTTTATTGGGCTTCTAGGTAGGAACCTATAAACGTATGATACGTTCTTTAGGACTCAAAGAGTTAAGAAGTAAACCAGTCCTAAGTCGTATTGCCTAAATTGCCTGCCTACTATAGACTGGTCGGCTCTGTGGCTAAGTCGATGCGAACGCTTCGTAATGCCGGGATGCCGGGTTCGATCCCAGCTGCGAGCCATGAGCTTTGCGTTGGTTTCGACAGTGGTATCAAGAAAGTATCCCGTCGAAAAGGAAACGGCAAACTACTGGTCGTAAATTTGCATAGAAAAACAACACAACAGCCAGGGGCTGTTAGGGTTGGTTCTGGAACGTCCTGTAAAGGATACGCAACTAACGTAACTATAGACTGGTTCTAAAATAGGGTTCCAGTAGAACTATCTTGTCACAAAGTGAGTACACCTGGGGTGGCCGGCACCCCCCCCCCCCCCAAACCCCTTCCCACGCCACTGCAGCAAAAGAACACTTTTAACCACAGGCAAAATACGAAAAAATAAAAAATAAAAATTAATTAATATCAAGATTAATTTATGTAAATGTTTGAAAAATTCATTTATGGAGGGATAGGAGATTGGGTAGGGGAGAAGAAGAACTATAACTCATAACAAGTTTAAAAAGGGGAAAGAGCCCCGTATTAAAAGAAAAATATATTTCCAGCATCATTTCGTCCCTACATAAGAATTCTCACAAAATCCACATCAGCCCAAGAAACCGTTTGATTTCTGCCACAAAGGGACAGTTTGCCCTTATAAATTAAATTGAACTTGGCTTAAGATGTCACATTTCCCGTGTGCGAACTTTGGACATCTCGTCCCCAGAGGTGAACTGTTTCCCCTGCTTTCTTATCCCAACATAATTCAATTCTGGTTCATTTTGCCAGCTTGCTATACTTGGTTGAGAGCCGGATGGGGCTGTGAATCAAAATGAAGAGGGAAATGTCTCGCTTTTTTCTTTAAAAAAAAAAAAAAACGTTTCGTATTATTTACTGCGCAGGGAAATACATTTACCAGCAATCCCTGCGGCTAGCAAGGTGATATGATGTTCAGGATTCTTCTTCCTCTTTTTTTGTTCACCGGCTGTAAACTCCAGCGGAAAGTCCTGGTTGTTCGTCCATGTGGATTTTGGCTTTGTGTCATGCTTGAGTTTCGCGGACTCAGCCGTTTTACTAGTGTATTTGTGTGCAGTTGGTTTTTCTCTTGCCAATCGAGCAGATGCACTCAGACGTCAAAGGAAGTCCCCAGTTAATCGACTACTACGACATGCTTGTTGGGGAGATATTAGGTCTTTTCTTATTGTCTCCATGATGGGGCCCTGGGACACACACAGGGAGTATAGGATTGCAATACTCACGACAATAGAACGCCCTTGCTTACGTAAGTTTCTGTTTTCACCTACTTGATTTTTTGGCATTGGAACTCACAGGGCAAAAGAATAAAAGTAGATCACAAAATACACTGGGGAGGCAAGTTAAAAAGATGGAGATGACACTGTTGTAGGTGACAGCGAGAGAACAGACGATGTGGTGTGAGTTGGTTAGAGGTCAATAGGGTTGTGTGTGGTGGTGGTGGTGGTGGTGGTGGTTTTGGTGGTGGTGCTGGTGGTGGTGGTGGTGGGACGGCAGGGGAAGGGTAAAGGAAGGAAATAATAGAAGTGCAGAAAGAAATACAAGAAGCAGAAAAACAAAAGAAATTGAAGAAGAAGAAGAAGAAGAAGAAGAAGAAGAAAAAGAAGAAGAAGAAGAAGAAGAAGAAGAAGAAGAAGAAGAAGAAGAAGAAGAAGAAGAAGAAGAAGAAGAAGAAGAAGAAGAAGAAGAAGAAGAAGAAGAAGAAGAAGAAGAAGAAGAAGAAGAAGATGATGAAGAAGAAAAAGGAGAAGAAGATGAAGAAAAAGGAGAAAAGGAAAAAAAGAAGAAGAAGAAAAAGCAGGAAAAGGAGAAGAAGAAGAAGAAGAAGAAGAAGAAGAAGAAGAAGAAGAAGAAGAAGAAGAAGAAGAAGAAGAAGAAGAAGAAGAAGAAGAAGAAGAAGAAGAAGAAGAAGAAGAAGAAGAAGAAGAAGAAGAAGAAGAAGAAAAAACGATGATGAAGAAGAAGAAGAACAAGAACAAAAAGAAGAACAAGAAGAAAAAGGGAGAAACAGTGGAAGAAGGAGAATGAGCAGAATCAAACAAAGACTTTTTGCACCTAAACAGACAGCCATACGGACAGACAGACACAGAAACAAGCCTCAGTGAACATCTAATCTGGAATAATAAGAGTACAGCACACAATGAAATTATTCATGTATAAGAAGTTAAAAAATTTCCCCGTCTCCTCTGAGATAGCATGCTTCCATTTGTGCATCTTTCTTCAGGAATGCCGATCAGTAATTTCTTTCAATCTATCATTCCTTTTGCACTGCAGTTTCCTTGGCAGCCACTCAGCAGATGTGATGTTTATCTCATGGGTCGCCTGGCAGCCTGTAATGTGTATTCGGCCAAGGAAACTGGGCTGGATTCTTTTTTTAGGTTATCAAAGAGATTGCACAGGATTAAAAGAATGTCCCCGTTGGGTTCCGAAGTCCCATTGTGAGTAAAACAAGAATAAACCCACTGCCTCCCCAACACGCATATCGTAGGAGTCGACTAAATGGGAGCATCCTTCAAAGTTGGAGTACAATCTGCCGCAGAGGCAAGGAACTAAGATTCTGCATACAGAAACGCCAGATGTGTGAAACGTATGTGCAGGCAACACTCATCTTCTAGAACAGGACTGAAGTCCGGAGGCAGACGAACACCCACAACTTTCTGCCAGGGCTTATAGCCGACGAACGCGAAGAAGAAGAAGAAGAAGAAAAAGAAGAAGAAGAAGAAGAAGAAGAAGAAGAAGAAGAAGAAGAAGAAGAAGAAGAAGAAGAAGAAGAAGAAGAAGAAGATGATGATGATGATGATGAAGAAGAAAAAGGAGAAGAAGATGAAGAAAAAGGAGAAAAAGAAAAAGAAGAAAAAGCAGGAGAAGAAGAAGAAGAAGAACGAACGAACGAACGAACGAACTTTATTTTCAAAGGGTCACAAATTGGGCACGCAGGCCCGTCTTACATTCGGCCCTTCCAGTCAACCATCTTTCACACAGCAATTGTATTTTACTAATGAAGCATGTTATGATCATATGATGATATGCATATTATGAATATTATAAAAGAACACAAAAGCATGAGTTGTAAAGTACATGCAAAAACCCGCGCGTGCATACACACACCCACATACACACGCTCACCCATTCACTTACACGTACATGCATACATTGCATACATACACACATACAGGCATACATACAAACACACATACATACAATCAAACATGCATACACACATACACACAGGCATACATACACACAAATATACATACAAAGATACAAACATACAGGCATACATACATACATACATTCACACATACATAATACAGGCATACACACATGCAAACATACAGTCATAAATACAATCATGCATGGAGACACTCACATGCACACACGGACACTCCCACAGAGACACACACACTCAGACAGAGTCATATGTATACAAACACGCCTGCACATACATACATATCACGCACACACGCGCGCGCAAACATACATATCATACACACCTTGTTTATAATAATAATAATAATAATAATAATAATAATAATAATAATAATAATAATAATAATAATAATAATAAGAAGAAGAAGAAGAAGAAGAAGAAGAAGAAGAAGAAGAAGAAGAAGAAGAAGAAGAAGAAGTAAAAGAAGTATAAGAAGAAGAAGAAGATGAAGAAGGAGAAGAAGAAAAAGAAAAAGCAGGAGAAGAAGAAGAAGAAGAAGAAGAAGAAGAAGAAGAAGAAGAAGAAGAAGAAGAAGAAGAAGAAGAAGAAGAAGAAGAAGAAGAAGAAGAAGAAGAAGAAGAAGAAGAAGAAGTGGAATAGCTCCTGAAAATAACATATTTGTGTTTTTGCCCATAATTTAGACCCTGCAAATATTTGTAATTTAATGAGTTAAAATTGTTCAAACTGCACACAAGAATAGCTGAGGGTTCAACCAGGCAATTGACAGAGTTCTTAAGTATCTGGGTTATCGATATATTTTTAGCGTACGGACTTTCTCATCAACCAGTAAAACCGTGCCCATCGGATGAGTGTGTTGTTTTGTTCCCTCTTTTTAACAATATAGATTGCTTTAGTGGGTACTTCAAATTGGGACGGTGTAGTCAGTCCTTCTTCTCAATTACTGAACAATTTTTATATCAACATTCCTAGTGAAACTATCTACCCCTCCCCCGAGTCCCCTTCTGGCAAGCTGCCATCGGTCATGATTAAGTGTACTTTCAGGGTAAATTGCTGCTCTTTGTTGGGGTATTAACGCTTCAAATAGGAGATTGGAAGCTTTCAGTAGGGGCTGAGTAATAGCCAAGATGTGTACTATGGTCAAGAAATGGCAGACACTGATCGAGGCTAACGTGGATGTCAAGACCACTGATGGCAACCTGCTGCGAGTGTTTGTCATTGGCTTCACAAAGAAGAGGAACAACCAGGTCAAGAAAACATGCTACGCCCAACATGCTCGGGTCAAGGCCATCAGGAAGAAGATGGTGGAGATCACTACAAGGGAAGTTTCTACGAATGACATGAAGGAAGTCGTCAACAAGCTCATCCCCGACAGCATTGGCAAGGACATTGAGAAAGTCTGCCAGGGCATCTACCCACTACACGATGTGTTGGTTCACAATGTGAAAGTGCTGAAGAAGCCCAAGTTTGATGTTGGCAGATTGATGGAGCTTCACAGAGAGGGCGGGCCCACAACTACCATAACCAAGACTACCACAGAGAGCGGGGAGAAGGTCGACAGAGTTGAAGGCTATGAACCTCCCGTTCTTCAGACAGTCTAGAATTTGAAATGAATAAATGATTTTAAGTGAAATAAAAAAAAAAAGTTCATATTTTTTGCTATAACTCGTCATACCCTTGTGGGACGCAATTTTTATCTATTTCGAAGCCCCACCTTGGCTTTTGCCGGGAGCCCTAAATATAGCCGGGCCTGAAATCTGGCCAAACGGCTGAACGGGGTTTTCGGGACCTCTCCATGGGTGATCCTCATCCGCACGGTGGCATTTTGTGTCACCGGGTGTTTATCGCTTGTGCGATGTCCTGGTGGAACTTACATACATGCAATAAAAAAGTAAAAACAAAGTCAACTGTCCCAATATGGGAAGCAATGTTTCGTTATTTTGAACCCCCACCTCAGCTGCTACCGGCTTCCCTTATATTACCCAACCACTGGATTGGACGAGGTTTCTGAGATCATTAACAATAATTTACTGGGGGATCTCATGCATTGGCGCCTACGGAACTGCAGCGCCGTTTTTTTTTTTTTTAATCCCTATGTTACCGACAACACTCGCTATAATGAATTTTTTCTACTTTATTTTGTCTTTGTACATGTTTAGTTCAGTACACACGAACGAACAAACTTAATTTTCAAAGGGTTAGAAATTGGGCACGCAGGCCCGTCTGACATTCGGCCGTTTTAGGCACTCATTTTTCAGAGTACCAATACCTGTTATCAATAATGCATGTTGTGGGTATAACAGAGAAATATAAATTATAGAATAATGCATACACACATCATGTGTTCACAACCGTACACACTCACACACACGTATACATACTCCTACGTTATCATACATGCAAAGTCATATACAGACACGTGATACATACACACATGCATCTACATGCATATACAAACATAAAACGCACACACATACATAGACATAAATTTATAGTCCGTAAGCTGAACATCAGTAGCCATCCTCTAGGTAAGCGATACTCAAACTATTGGTCGCCACCCTCTGTGCGGGTAGAACAACCCGTTCACATGAGTCGCCTAAGACCACCGTAAAACACATATTTACTGACGTTATGAAGTAGTAACAAGAATAACTGTGTGTTTGGGGGTCGCCATAGCATCAGGAAGGGTCGCCGTATTAGGAAGGTTGAAAATAATTGCTTTAAGTGTTCGTGAAAACGGGACTTTTTCAGAAGTGACCTTTGCTACCAGTGCCAGACATGGTCACTCACAACAAACCATAACAGAAAACTAGAAACCAGGGAAATGAGATGTCTGAGAAGGGCATTAGGAGTGACTATAAGAGATAAGATCAGGAATGAGATCATAAGAGAAAAAGTTGGCACAGAACCAATTCTGGATTGCATACGAAGACAGCAAGTGAAATGGTTTGCCCACTTAGAGAGAATACCTTGTGACACCATATTATACAAAGCATACATGGAAAGAGAAGAAGGACGTAGAGCACGAGGTAGACCAAGAACAACATGGAAGGATAACATCAGAGAAACTCTACAACAGCACGATGTGCCTATGGTCTAGGCAGCCAGAAGAGCTAGAAACAGAACCTTATATCTCTCTCGACACCCACAGCGGTAAAAGAAGAAGTGAAGAAGAAGAAGAAGAAGACCTTCGCTCCCAGATCGACTGAGCCTTGAATGGGCACCAGGTAAAGACCTCAGAAGTAAAGGCGACCGGTGTGATGTTGACGATTTCACCAACTAATGCTCAATTGTCTATGACAATATAGGTCTAGCCCTATATGTTTCTCGTGGAAGACCAAGGGAAACCCTACGTAGAACTATCATCAGGGAAGACTCGCTCATGGGCCACTCAAACATCCAAGACCTACAACAGATTGCAACGAACCGCCATGCATGGAGAGTCATGACCTCTGCCCTATGTGCCGCACTCGACACAAGAGGAAAGACTAACTAACTAACTAACTAACTAACCTATATGTTTAATACCTGTGGAGGTTTGGAAAAAAAGGTCCTTTTTTGGGTGATCGGGTTCAGTTCTCGACAATTACTTCTTTGTGTCAATGTCGTGTTGCGTTGGTAATCATACCCGTCTTGAGTGTTTTCAATCTTTTCTGACACATGTTCACATAAATAAACAGAGGGGGGGGGGGGGAACCCTTGGGGTCGTAGAAATATTATACATAATAAACAAACGGACAATGTATTGACTGGCACTCGTAGAAAGAAGTAGAAAGATAGAACGATTTCAAGCTGTACGATAGACATGGCGAATAAAAACACCTTTATTAAGGGTGCCTAGTTAGTCATGTTCTTTGTACACTTGTTTCCACTGCGAGGCCCCCATGCCATTTGGAGGTGACAGGTTCGATTCCCATTACGGTAGTCATAGCCTTAGATTTTTATTTTGCCTAGTGTGTCCTTCTTTTTTCTTTTTTCTACGTGTGTCAACCAATACATTATCTGTTTGTTAATTATATACATCTAATATTTCTGACACATAAGTTCTTCTATGATAAACTGCCGAGTGTTAAATCTGTTGGTCTACAATAATCACAGGAAGAGTGTTTGAGTTTTGCTGCAGACAATCTTGATTATGAAGACGGAACCTGATTGATTCTCATCTCTTTTCTTATCCTAATCCTCTTCTGCTTTACAGTGTCGAAATGAAGTATAATTTACCAGAATGAGCCATTTTTTATGCTTCATAAATTATGGTTTCCACGGACTCTGTATTTCCTTCTGTACATCGGTAACATTGTCAGCCTCTTCTTCGCTTCCCGCCTGGTCTGAACATCACCGCCTCTTTCCCTTTAACCCTCTTGTTATCAAGACCTATCTCAGTTTCCCCTTTACTCGAACAATGTAGACTGTCTCTTTATCACACAGGTAGTCCATTCTCTTCCTGGGTAAAAGTTTGAGTCCTGAAGGTGGATTCTATTGACCTGTGCTTCATCTTTCTCTCCGCATTATAGCTAACTGTCTATCGCACAAAAGCCGAAGAGCGTAGCTCCGACGGGATCCCTAGGCACAGGGGACAGAGACAGATGACGAAGCTTGAAGCAAGCCCAGGACCTTCAGAGTACAAGGCTAGCGGCTTGACCACATCGACATGGCGACGCCTTCACCTTCCTCTTCTTGTGTTAAGTTTTTTTGAAGATATCTACATTACTCCCTTCCAAACAGCCCACCGTACTCTCACCATTTCTCTATAACCGTCAACGATGTGGCTCTCACATATTTCTTTCTTTCTTTTCATTAAAGAGCTGATAGTCCATGATTTAGCTCTGCACATTAGAGCTAAACTTTATATAACAATCAACTCTTTCAGGACCAAACCACTACCTGTGCGATTACTGAATTTCCATGAATGATATGCTTTTCTGAGCTCAGAACAACTAAACACCTAGGTTCCACCCCCCCCCCCCTAGGCCCCCACCCACTCAGTATAATCGCTTTTTTCTTTTACCACCAGACATAATGCTCCTTCCAGTCTAGAATAATATTTATACGCCCACAAGATAATTGGCGTCATCCGAAAACACTCAGGTAATATATGTGTTCCTACAACCTTATCTGTCAGTGGCATTGAACCGGCTTGCCATGTGACACACACTCTTCTGCAATCATTGCTACTTCAGCTATGGTTCTAGAAAGGCAGACGGCATCACAAAATCGATGTCAGAACAATTTTAAACTTAGTTCTTCTCTCTGTAAGAATGCAAATGCTAACAGTCTGAATTGATCAACCGTGCGGGGAAATAAATGAACCGGATTTAGAAGAGAGAGCTATCTACAGATTCGTGATCCGCCTGTACCGGTGCGCTTTCAGAAATAGTATCCCCACTTAGAAAGTTAGCGCCAAAGTCGATTCAGCGGGAAAAAGTAGAAATGTGTGTTTAACGACAGTCGTCATTCTCAGACTTCGTCAATTACTGACATTTGTCATGAACGTTGGGACATCTGTGTTTGTGATTGTGTTAAGTTACGGTTGTCTATGGAATAAGCCTGGCCCGCTGCGACGATGTTAACGTTCAGAGGGTGGGAGAGTGGGGATGGAGGAGGTGGAGGGGGGAGCATACGCTGTCATTACCACGTCGTTCTCACCGCGTAGACAAATTAGGGTAGGTGCTCAGACGCCTTAAACCACCCTGTCCCCCAATAATATTAAAATAAAAAAAAAATTAAAAAATAACATCGGGGGACCCTAACTGCGTGCTCCTCCTCCATCATACAAATTGTGTAGGTAGATAACTGAGTGTGGAAAAAAGCCCTATTCACGTTTTCTGGCCCATCAAAACACTTTCCCAGTCCGATCTAGGTCAGAGGGGTGTCACGTGGTACTGACTGCTTTCTTCGAAAAGAGTCTCTCGCGGGACCTAGGCTCAGCAATGGGTAAGAAGGGTGGGTTTGGGCCAGTCCTAGATGTTATGGGGTCGTTAAAAACTGATCGGCGCGGATGTAATTTGAGGCAAGACAACGTGACACCCCTCTGACGTAGAACAGTTTGAGAAAGCATGAATAAGAAGTCAGCTAGTGTGTAGATGAGCCGTTATTAGGACGTAAATAGGACAGGGGATGGAAACTCAGGTGTTTGCGTGCCTTCAGAAAAAAAAAAAAAATAATCAAAGAAAAGGGAGTGGGGCTAGCGACGCATCCCAGGCAATAATAATGAAAGGGAGTTGAGATGTATATAGAGAAGTTAACTTTAAAAAAAAAATGTCTCTTTAAATTTCGTACTAATTCATGTATGTTATTTTGTAGGGATGGTAGTGAAGTTTTATTTTTTGTGTTTTTACTTACGAAATTGTAACAGCTAGGTGAAAATTAAAATTACAAATCCAATGGTACCTCATTTAAGCCTGTAAGTCGATTCTAAGCGGAGATATTAACATTTTAGTGGCGGACACCACGACAGAAAAATTGTAGTGGAAATCCATGAAACATGGCTTCCGGCTGCGACCCAGTGAGATGAAATGACTCAATGTTTGCATTTTACTGCCATAACTTTTTTGTTTTTGAACGAATCCCTTAGCAACCATATATTGCTAGAATCGGGACA